CGGCGGGAGCGCCGCCGCGCTTCCCAAGCGGCGCACTAGCGCAGTGCGCCACCGGGCCAGCCCTGCACCTCACTTTAAACCACCTATATTTCCTGAATTTCCTAGGAATTTCTGAAATTCCTAGTTTAGTAGGAATTTTTTAAATTAACAAATGGAGTTAAATTTTCTGCATTCAAATACAAAAAGCTGTAACTTTGTGACAAAGTTTCCTTTTAGGCCACTTTTATGCTCAGAAGCTGAAGCACAGAAAAGTAAATCCCTGCTGCTACTGATGCTGCTGTCACACCTGCACTTTGGAGCTATTCTGGGACTTACTAACGGACAACAGAAGGGAGCACTCCCTAGGAGCCAGTGGTTTGAATGCAAAGAGGAAGTTTAAGGGAATCAGTAGCTAATGATTCCTCTTCACCATATCCCAGTGAAAGACACTGTGATAGTCCCACTGTTACTGGTCAAAATTTCAGCCACCCTGGGGGCTCAGTAACTGGCTACTACATGCCCTGATTGGTAGACAACTGGCCCTTAGGCTCACCTTTCCATTTTAACAAAAAGCCCACTCCAGAGGAAAGGTTTAACTATCTCAAACATAGAAAAGACAATACACCTAGAACTATATAATTGTTTTTCTTTTTAATGTCCACGGTTTGTAATATAAGGGCCAGAGCTTCCTCCCAGACTCAATATTGTACATTCTCAATTGGCTGGTGAGGCCAATAGGGATACTTCTCCTTGTCCAACTTGGTTTCTGGGAAGGCTTCATTCAAGTCCTCAATGGTCATCAGCTCAAACGGAATTATGTTCTTCATCTTCTCCAGCTGGAAAGAGGGGAAATGTGTTTAGTAAACTAGGGCCACAGAGATGCAAAATAAGAATCCAAGGCAGGTTACTGCCACTAGGTAAAAAGATACGTGGCCATGAAAGAGAGAAAATATATTACAGGCAAAGGCCACGGCTTACCCTTACCTCTTTCTCATATTCCTGAATCCTGGCCTTCGAGAGAGACACAAACTCAGCACAGCTTTTCACCTTAAAAGAAGGGAGAAATTCTGTTTTGAAACCACGTTGTGCTGACTCTGAGGCCCCCCAGGTGTGGAGTCCCAGAGCCTGCTTGTTTTCCCACTGCCCTATGGAGAAGGGGTGGTTGTCCTGACCGCTAGGGAGCGCTCGCTTTGAGAGGCAAACTGCGGCTTTCCCTAATACACACAAAGAAGCTCACGTAGGAAAACCACTTACGGTGGTAGGACCAGGCTTCTTCAGTAAGTTCCTTGTCCAGATAACCTACAAAATGCCTGTGTTTCATAGGGGTCAGTCACTGAAAAGTCAGGACAAGCTACTTGATGACCTAGCCAGGTCTATCTTTGATGGAGCCTCCTAGGTCCAAGTTTGGCCTCTAGTGCTTTGAAGCAAATAGTTAGGTATTTTAATACTGCTTGGATAATTTTTCTAACAAATTCCAACTCTTTTTGGTGGGAGGGTGGCTGGCAGGTACAGGGATCGAACCCTGGACTCTGGTGTTATCAGCACCACACTCAAGCTAACTAGCCAGCCCTCCTTAATTGTTTTTAACAGCTTTGTTGACATGTACCCACCTGTGAAACCATCACCACACTCAAAATAGTGAATATATTCATCCCCCATCCCCAGGAAACCACTGATGTGCCTTCTGTCACTATAGGTCAGTTGCATTTTCTAAGGCTTAAAAAAACAGAATCATATGGTATGTCCTTTTTTTTCTTGCAGGCTTCTTTTGCTCTACATAGTTATTTTGAAATTCACCCATGTTGTTGCATTTATTAACAGTTCATCCCTTTTTATTACTGCCAACTCCTTAACTTTTAACTCACTCTCCCTTAACCTAGCTGCTAAAAAATACAGAGCTTTCAGTATTAAGAGAATTTTAGAAAAAATAAGAGCCTCAACTACTTACATCTTCTTTTTCCTCAGCATCCACCTGGACAGTATATTTATCCTCTGGTACTGGAATTTTCAGGGCATTAAACTACAAACAAAGGGACAATGAGTTGTCTCCAAAGGGCTCGAAGTCACTAATCCTTATAGATCACATAAAAAAACACATTCTCTAACCCTAGAGGAAACCAAAATGCATCTTGAGTGTTGTTATGGAAACAATATTAGACTGGGAACAGGAGCTCAAGGGTCTTCTCAGCTCTGTCACTAACTGGGGAACTTAAACAATTCTTTTTTTTTTAAAAGATGACCGGTAAGGGGATCTTAACCCTTGACTTGGTGTTGTCAGCACCACGCTCAGCCAGTGAGCGAACCAGCCATCCCTATATAGGATCCGAACCCGGGGCCTTGGTGTTATCAGCACCGCACTCTCCCGAGTGAGCCACGGGCCGGCCCGAACAATTCTTTACTATGGTGAGCTTCAGTTTCTGCATCTGAAAAGGACAGCTGGACTTGATGACCAGGAAAATGGCCTGTTAGCACCTCACATTCTAAAGAAATTATCATTCCTCTAGAGGGCTGATTGGGAGTAACATTTGCAAAATGGAGATGGAGATAGTCTCCTTAGAAGACTACTTGGTGTTACAGCCCCAGCACTTAGCACTGTGCCTGACACAAGTGGGCCCTCCATAAGCATCTTTGAATGAATAAGCAAATGAACTCTGGATATTGAGAATTAATATGTAAGTATCAAAGGATAGGCAGATGAGAAATTACAGCAGTTATGGGGCAGTAAAAAAGAGCAGAGAAAGGAGGAAAATGAGTTGAAAAAATGTCAGTTTTTCCCAAATGGAGATAGGGAGGAGGCTAAAATGGAACTTAAGAAGGGTTGGGCACAAACATTTAACCTGACAGTCCTCTGGCTCCCAGATACTGTACTGTTTTAATTTTTTTTTTTTTTGAGAGGCTGGCAGGTAAAGGGATCTGAACCCACAAGCTTATTGTTATATGGCTGCACTCTCCCAACTGAGCAAACCAGCCGGCGCAAGGCTATACTGTACTGCTGAATGAACAGACCCTGAATTCTCTACACCCATTTACCATTTAAATCACTGCAAGGCCTTTGGCAGCAGCCATCTTTCCTAAGCTTCCTTTGGGATCTGAGTATTAACATCACCATTCTCCCTAGCTGTTACCCTGCATATCTTATTACCTACCTTCCTGCTCCCCACCCACAAGCCACATTACAAGATCATTGCTTTAGTTGTCTGAAGTCTCACCTTCTTCTCAAAGTCATCCACCAAGCCCGCCTTGGCCACATTAGCCTTGTAGTAAGCCCAGTCAATAGCTGGTGGCTTCTCAGGTAGAGCAGCCAACCTGTTCACATGGAAAAGCAAAGTTAGGATAGTTCCAAGAGCAATAGAAAAGTTACATAGTGGGCCGGCCCGGTGGCGCACTGCTACAGTGCACCGCTTGGGAGCGCGGCGGCGCTCCCACCGAGGGTTCGGATCCCACATACAGACCGGTTCCCGCTCACTGGCTGAGCGAGGTGTGGGCGCAGCACCGAGGGTTGCGATCCCGTTGCCGGTCCCGGTCCGGTACGGGCGCAACACTGAGGGTTGCGATCCATTGCCGGACACGAAAAAAGACAAAAAAAGGGAAAAAAAAAAAAAAAGAAAGAAAAGTTACACAGTAATTTCCCTGTTCCTTATTCCTATGGCCTGGAGTGTTATCACATTTTTCTTTTGTAGGGTCATCATGAAAATGCAAGAAAATACTTTTATTTGGAAAATACACGGATTTCTTTATTCTTTGTCAGAAGAGCATCAGAAATTCATATGTCATTCCAAAACACTGTTTTGTTTCTAGATTCAGTGGCAAGTATGGCGCTCCCTCTCAGAAACGTACTGACCTGGAGCTGAGGGTCTCACTACAGGATTTCAGGTAGTTAGCAATGGTCTTTTGGTTTTGGGGTATGATCTCCCCAAAAGCTACCCAGTCAATGGCTTTTAGAGCAAGTTTTCGCCCAGCCATCTTGGGATCCTGGAAAATAAAATAGATCAGCTCAAAACAGGGCTCTTGGAGAAAATTCTCTAAAGAAGTCCATCTTAGAAACACGCAAGTCTTTAAGAAATAGATCAGCATCCTCTGAGTGCTTGGTGGGAGTATTTATTAACTACAGAAATCAGAAAAGGAGGACAGTTTAGCTTTTCAAATTCAAGGTGTGCAACCTGGCAAATATTCCTTCCCACTAGAATGTCCTTCCTCTATCCCCCAACCCCTACTCATCCTTAAAAGCCCAGCTCTCTACTTTTTGCTCCCCATGTGCCTTTGGAAATACTGCTAAAAGAACATTTATGCATTGCATTAAAGTTAATAATTTAAATACATTTCCACCCAGATTGTTTTTCACTCACTGATTCTCCAGTACACAGAACCAGACACACACCTTAGTTTCAAAAAGGCTTACATAGAGCAAAATCTGGGCTAAAATTTCCTTCTTTGTAAAACGGGGATATCAGCACTGCTTACCTCAAAAGTCTGTTAAAAGTATCAAATGAAATTGTGCACAACAACTTACTACAGTCTTACACAAACCTAAGGGGCTCTCTACCCGCTCCCTACTAGGCTGGTAGTACACCTGCACCTCTACATGTCTGATTATCCCCTGCAGCAGTAGCACATGCCCTGCATTTTAAGAGGTAGTCAATACATTCGTGTATGTGAACGTGAGAGAAGACAGAAAGTAATTACAGCCATTTCTTTTTAAAACCAAGACAGAATATGGGAAAATAGTCAACTTAAAATACTAAAATCGGGGCCGGCCCGGTGGCGCACTGGAAGCGCGGCGGCGCTCCCGCCCGAGGGTTCGGATCCCACATACAGACCCATTCCCGCTCACTGGCTGAGCGAGGCGCGGGAGCAACACCGAGGGTTGCAATCCCGTTGCCGGTCCCCGGTCAGGTACGGGGGCAACACTGAGGGTTGCGATCCGTTGCCGGACACGGAAAAAAGACAAAAAAAAAAATACTAAAATCAACGTCACATAATAGGATAATACTGCAAAATCAAAGGGCTTTACAAGCTGTAGAGTGGATTACAAAGGAAATGGAAGAAATCTCAGGATTTAAAAAAAAAAAAACTGTCAAACATCTGTCCCTCCCTTTCTCTGCTCCTCAAGTTAACTTATATCTCCTGGAGTGAAGGGGTTAAGGCAGTTG